CGTGCATACTAATCAATATTAACCATCCTTTTCCACCTCACATTAAGTCAGTCATGCCCCCAAGGAAGGGCTTCTCAAGGACTTTCTGGCTGGTGATGGACTTTTTTCAATTCAGAGTATCTGATGTAGGAGGACAACTGTGCTGTAGCCCAGCACAGGTGGTGTTAATATCATTTGAAAGGGTGGGTATGCCCTGGAGTGCGGAGGAAGGAATACCTGCAAAGAGAGGCTGAGGGAGCATTAGTATTTCTGCAGTGGTTTTGATCAGGAGACAGGAACTGGAGCTGACCCGAGGCTGTGACTTGCTAGCACGCCTGACAAAATGTCTCAGTAAAATCCTGCGTGGACCCAGGGAGTCTATCAGCAGAGCTCCAAGTGAAAAGACTACGTGCTCACAAACACAGACATTAACCCAGCTAGCAATCTCCGCCTGGCTTTAGTCTTCAGGCAGCCTCAGACATGCTCTCACCCTGATGCAGGGCTGTCTCCATAGATAAATGTGGGTTCCATAATCCCCAGGGATTACACCCTGATTCTCCAAGAACCAGGGTCAGCCCTTGATCACAAGACTTGGAGAGTCACTAAACATATGGGAACAACTTAACCTGAAAACTTCTTCAGTTTGTGACTACAAACCAGATAAACTGCCTGCAAAAGATCCAGCAGGGAAATCTAAGTCACTTGAAAGTCAGTAAATTATTACTAACTAAATTCTTACCAAATGTAACCTCTCAACATTGTGTTATTTAATGAAACTCCTAAAAAGGCAGAGCCCCTTTCAAGGGCCTGAAAATCCTGCTGATTATCAGGCCTTCAGCATTTTCCTGAGCCTGTTTACAGGGAAAGGAAGGACTGTGGTTCCCTCTCAACTACAATTAAAATTTTCTAATGGCTGCAGAAGTCATTTACAGTTTATGGCTTCTGCTTCCCTTCTGTCTCACACAGTCCCAAGCTGGAAGAGTCTAGTAATTTAGTGCTCCATGTGTTCATTTTAATAGTCTGGTATTTAAAATCTGTGACACAGAAGAAGCGAATCAACTTGAGGGAATGCTAACAAGGTTGAGAAATGGTCTTGCTTCAGCTACTGGCTCCAAGTGCTTCACCCATGTTCAAATGCCAGTGCAGAGCATTATCGGACATCCTTCCAACCACAGTTTTAAAGTGACAATCTGCTAATTAGGTTAAAACTTAACCTGCCACTGCCCCACGTGTAAAGCAGCACAAAGGAGAGGTTAGCGTCTAGGTATAGGCTACAACCATACGAGGTCAGGGTCCACAGGTATTTCTTTTCTGTAAGAAAACTCTTGCTGCACAAAGCACAGTAGCACAAAATTCAAGATCTGGTCCAGTGTACTGTGAGGATGTAGATGCTTTTCTGCCAGGTTACAAAACTGTGGTGATACAGTGGGATGGCCTGTGCACAGGAAGTCTCAGAGGAAAAGGTGGGTTACTTATTACAAATCAGAAACGAAACCAGCTCAACCCCTACCCATAACAAGTCAACCAACCTCTCGCAATCCCTTCTACCTGGATGCAAATCATGGAGAGACCACGAGGGGGGAGCATAATCCAAGAATTCACAAATCTTGCACTCGCTGCCCACAGCACACAACACATTTATAATTATAACATCATATTATCAAGCACTGGGTTTAATCCAGTATGAAATTAATAAGATGGTACTACTAATTAATACTGGTTTATCCTACCATTGCTTTTTAATGGTCTACTCATTCTCAGATGCAATATGGGGACAAACCCAGGATTTCCCTCCCTTACAGATAAGCAAATTATTATCGTTCTCATTTTCCTGGGTAAGGAAAACTAAGGCAGATGTGCTGGGCTGCTTTATGGCAGATGAAACAGAAACAGGTGGCAGATCTTACTGCCGTCTTCCTCAGGCTTTTAGAAGGCGTGAGCAAATATTGGGACTACACAAGGTGTTAACAACAGAAGTTGAGACACTAATCTCTCAGAATCCCCAGAACAAACATTCCCACACCTTTTACCCCTTTCTCCTGTCAGCTCTCAGTCTGATGGCCTTTATAGGACAACCTAGCTTTATCCCCAGCTGCCCCGTGTGTGAAAGGCTTGCTCCAAAGTCTCTCAGAGAAAAATCACTGCAGCTTTCAGTGGCTTGAAATGCTGAAACTGAGAACGGAAGAAAAGGTTTTTGGGAAGTAATCACAGCTTCTCCACTTGTATTTCTTTCCTAGGGTCTATTTCCTAGGCTTTCTTTCCTAGGCTCTATTTCTAAGCTTAACTGTCTAAGTAATGTTTCTTACCAAAAAAGACCCCATCTTTCTTACAGAGAGGTCTTCCCTCTGCAGCAAACAACAGTATCTCTAAAGTCCTGAACCCAACCGAGCAGGCTGCAAGCCACAGGGAATATAGCTATCTGGCCTGAGTAAGGTGATGAGGACTGCCATGGTGACAAGGCCTGGTTTGGAAGGTCAGCAGGCATCTGGTTTGCTCTCCTGTGTGATACAGGCCAAAGAAACTCCCTCAGCAGTTTCTACAGGAGACCCAGAGTAACAGCATATCTTACACAAAGAAATTCATTGCATGGGGAAAGGCTGCACATGAAAAGCCTCCTAAATCTCCCTCCCCTGCCAAAAAGTGCGGTCCATTTGTTAAATATCCCTATATTGCATTTCTAGTCAGGACTTATCCAGCTTTTCTAGCCCTTGAATCTTTTCTGCTTCCTTTCTATTATCACACAGTTCTTCCCCTGTAGGTATGGGTTTACAGACCATGGTTATACCAGCTCTTAACCTTCTCCCAGAATTTTATTTCACAAGCCCTTTGTCAGCCTCTGGGAATCTTCTGAATTTCTGGACTACTGAGAAGTGATGTATACTTTTCTCAAGGGTTTTATAGATGAGTTTGGAAAGGACAATTTCTCGGTTTCTCAGTTGTAATGTTGTTAGCACTGAGGTCAACAGCAAAATTAAACTGTACACTCTGCTGTTCCATGGTCAGTAGACAAGAACCCAGTACAAGCAGCCATCCTTCCATCACTTCCAGGCTCAGACCTGCAGCTTCAGTTGGATATTTAAAAAGCCTGGCTTTTGGAAATATCCAGTATTTAAGAACCAGTGCCCATCACTCTAGCAAATGCTTCCGCCCTCCAATGCAAACTGAAGTTCAGCACTTTATCTTTCTCAGCCTGGACCACAGACCTTCCCCCCAGAAAGGGCATCCTGACCCACAGGGTGAGCCTGCACTCCACAAGAGACTCCTAACAATGAAGCTTTTTTCAGCACATAGGAACACACTCAGCCAAGTCCACATAACTGACATGGAAAGGAGCCAAACAGCTAATACTACATTTTATTGGCTGCAATTAATATGCACCACTTCTCATCTGTCATCACGCCACAGCGCAGCCCACGATATGCCACCTGTGGCTACAGAAATAGGAGAAGGTAAATCAGGAGTGAGTGGGCAGTATTTTTCAGAAAATAAGAACGAGGCCTAATGAACAATCAGTCTTAAAGCAATCACTGGAAGCTACTTTCTCCCCCAGCACATAAATCACTGAGCTCTTTGCCACAGGATATTTATTATAGGGGCCAAAAATGTGAAAGGGTTTAAAAGGCACAAGACTAATCTGTTCAGGGAAGAATTACTGGTGGCTGCTCACAAGTGGTCTGGATGCCATGCTTGGCTCAGGCAAGCCCTTAAACCACTGCTTGGGACAGGCTGCCTGGGTCATAGTCACCCTCAGCACACCTAGTTCCCTAAACACCTTCTACCAGGGCTGGAGGACCACGTTCAGTGAGATGGGTTATTAGTCTTTTCACAAAATGCTCTTCTGTCCTCACTTCTCTTTTGCTGATATCCAGATCTCCCTCCCTTGGGTCTCCATACGCTGCAATGCAGCCTTTTCTCCCCTTCTGGGCTGCAGGCACTGACACAACTGGCTGCCACTCCCATGGGAGATACTGGCTTGGCCAAGACATGGTGGCACTCCTTCCCACTGCACAGCACGGCTTATTGCAGGCAGCAGCAGGGAACAGGGGCAGAGGATTTGGAAGGCTGCCTATAGGTAGTGCTGGTCATTTGGTGCAGGGAGTGCAAGGGTTGGCCTCTGTTAAAAAATAGTAAAGATGTTCTTGGGATTTGGTAAAATCTAAGAAGTAGAAAATAAGAAAATCAATTCCAGTTGTGCTTCCAATTTTCTGCATAATGTGAAGTGAAAGTGTATTTTACCTAAGGAAGGAGATAACATTTCTTTCCTACTAACTGCTGTTTTGCTCCATTAGACTGTAAGCTGTTCAGTGAGAGACTGTCTCTTACAATAGTACTCATACAATACTATACAGGAACCTGTGTCATAGGGTCCTGATCTCGTTTGGAGAAATCCCCGCACTCCTGTAATAAATGCAATGATTTTACCTCTTACAGATGCTCCGTGTATGTTGTCTTCAAACTAAAGCAGTGGAGTAATTGCAAAACACATTTGTTATAGCAACATATAAATGTCACCTGTCAAACAGTGAAGGCAAGAATTCTGCCATACTAGGAGCTAAGGTCTATGTTAAGATCTATTTCAACATATTTACATTCCTTCCATTCCAAAAGCATCTGCATACCTTGAACCCAGAGTCACTACAAACAGAGTGACTAGGAACAATTAAATTCCTATTGCCTCCCCTGGCAGTTCATCCGTGTGTGTACAGGTTTCCAAACACAGAAAGACTGCTTTATTTATCCGCTTTACAGTTAATAGGGCTTAAAGGGAAGGGCTAGAAGTTGCTGTAATTCTCATGTTGGAATAGTCTCTCCAAAAAAGAAATTTTTTAGCTTTTCTTAATGATGGTCAGATTCATCAGCTCTTCTCTGGAAATTTATGCCATGGCTGCTGTGCCTGCAAGTAAGAAATTAGTAGGAAAATGAATTTCTTAATGTGAACCTTACTTTCTGTGGATGTATGGTTGCACTTATTGCACTGAAAGAAATGTACCATGATGCTTTATTTCCTGTTTCTTTGGAAGGGGATGAAGGTGTAAAAGGAGATAGAGGAGAAGTGGGCAAACAAGGAAAGGTTGGACCAAAAGGACCAAAAGGTATTTATGATGGTTTGCTGGCTATTACTGATATATGAGTATCATTATACACAACAGTACGGGTGCATATGATCTTTAATGCTTTTCATTCCTGTTGCATCTGTGTTTCACAATCCTGTGAAACATTAATCAGTGAACCTAACAATACTCACAGAGCTTGGTGTAATTCCTATGGACACATAAGACAGCTACATGTGGCAATAAATCAAGAGTCATGCAATAAACCAGCGCATTTACTGCTGCTCTCCCAAGTAGCTGTCATTAGTGCAATCCAGGAGAGCCAGATCATGTGTATAATCATTACCCAGATCATACATACAATGAGGAAGAGTACTATTCTCTCAATGAAATGATCCTTTAGTTGAAACTGAATTTTGAGAGTTATTTCCTAGTAATAGGAAGTCAGGATGCTCCACAAAATTCAGTCTCAGTTGTCCCTATTTTGCAGAAGGGCGAATGAAGGCATACACTAAGAAACAGTGCTGCCTCTGATCAAAAAGTATCTGAGCTGAGCACAAGGAGCCGCAGATGTCTCGGATCTTGGCTCTGTTAAACATATCCCATAACTACCGTGTGAGCTGGGCAGAGCATTCGGAGGCACCAGATGTGAGGGTGTCAGCCTTGTTTGCATACTTTAATTAAAAAGCTTAATTTACCATTAGAGTTTAATGATAATGCATAGCCATGGTCTTTCTTCCTTGACATTGGTCTAAGACTAATCAGAAAAGTTTTTACTTCTATAGAAACTTTAAAATCACTCTGTTGTTATTGTTATAATTAAAAAGCCTTTTCAATTTTTCAATGCATTCATATGGCTTGGCTTCTTACCTTAAAAAGAAGATTAAGCAAAATATAATCAATATATAATTGATTAATATATAGAATAATATAATTATATATTATATCATATTGTATTATACAATATCATATATTATATAATATATATATCAAATTACTACATAAATCAGTAACAATTTATGAAGTGTCTTAATGATATTAAACTCAGTGTGGAAACTGAGATTCCCTAATTTGGGCTGTCATCATTAGCCACCTGTTTTAGAACTTACTTAAACTATTAATTAAAAAGGCACCTGTTATTGGTGCTCTGAGGGCTGGGAAAGCACACATAGCAAAACTAAGTAGCTGCCTATTTGCAGTCCTCCTTTGAGAAGGATTCCCAGCAAGGCCACAAGGAAGAAAGAAAGGGTTTTGTCTGGGGTGGAGAAAAAGAACCCCAAATAAAACTTGACATAAGCCTCATTTGGCTGTGAAATAAAATAAGCATTTTATTGATTTTATTTGAATACTCATTAGCAGTTTTAGTTTTTATTTTCTGTAAGGAAACATGATGTTCCTGGGCATTTCAACAGGCAGTTAGAGTGAAGTGCCTTGCAATCTTCTACTGTTGTATCCTATAGTAGCAGAAATCTGCACTGTCCTCCTGCAGCCATCCTCAGGGCTCCATGCACTTTGACTTTGCCACACATGTAGACTAGCCGAGCTCAGGAAAAACAACAGTAGCAGAGACCTAAATAGTGCCTTGGAAAGAAATGACAGAAACCATCCATACTCTTTTCCTCTTTATTTCTCCTCTTAGGAAACAAAGGACCTGTGGGGGATGCTGGTGATCAGGGAATGCTTGGGAAAATTGGCCCAATCGGTGGAAAGGGTGAGCTCTGGTCTGGGAATTTTCTTGTTTTTTTCCCTCAAGGTAAATATGTGTTTTGTGAGAGTTCCAGCTATGGAGTAATATCAAACAATGGCTGGAACCAATGCTCTCCAACTGGAGTTATGCATAAAGATTGGTGACGAGCTAACTGAGATAATATTTTATTTCCCACGTGCAATATAACCTACCTACTTGGCTAAAATAATTAGCTTTATGAGTTAAGGAATTAATCCTCTTTAATGGTAAAAGAAGAAGGAAGAAATCAGGCTCCTGTGAAGTAAATTCTCTGAATGCTCTATAAGAGAAAGCCAAATTTGTGCCTCTGCTTTGGATGCTGAAGGCCTAGGTCAACATTCTGCTGCTGCTCAGGATGCCAAACCTTGTCACCTGCACTGCTGTGGGACGTGTGAGCAAGCAGAGCACAGGACAGCTCAGTAATGAAAGGAGTTTAGGAGGTTTAAGAAAGCACTCAAGTAACCAGGGACAACTACTTGCAAATCAGGGTAGGCTCCAAGTCTACCTGGATAATAATTTCATTAGGTTATTTTATTATTTTATTAAATTATTCTCTAGTTGCCTGAGAAGAAGAACAGGCAATCCTTTCTGGTATTCCTAAAGAGCTACTTAAGAAGGAATATTACTTCTGCCACAAGGAGACCTGCCTTGAAAGCTGAGCAGGGCCTCTGCCATCCCCAGGGGAGCTCTGGTCTCTAACCAGCACATCAGCCCAGGCATGTGGGTGAGCGGGTGGAACCATCTCTCCAGGGGGCTTCTCAAGCCAATGTTTTGAATAAAGCTTTGATGGCTTCTAGCCAGCCACAGTATCAGAGAAGAACAAAAGAATTTGGCCTGAGGGACTAATTTTTGGAAGTACCCAGATAACTGAAAACTCAGATGGTTATCTCCTAAAGTTGTCTTCAGTCACCAGAGGAGACTACAACTTAGGAATCCCACAAATTATTTATCTTTATCTGTAAGTAAACCAATGCCAATGCTCTGAGCCTTTAAATCAAGCTCTCTCTCAACCAGAATGTACAATTTATTTGCCCCTTTTAGTTTTTCTCATTTTCTTTCTCTATTTGCAGAAGCAAAGGTCACTAAGTCACTGTTTAAATCTACCATGAAACATTCGAGTTCTTAATGAAGCAACCCTGAAATTTCAGCTTGTAAGTGTACAGTGTCAAGCAATGCTAACTAAAACGACAGCCAACTCCTGATTTGTTTTACACAGCCATATAAAGGAAAACCCACATCAAAACATGGCCATCAACAAGGCAGAGCAAGTATTAGTATTTTTGGCCTCAGAAGGTTTTAATTCATAAAAGAACTGACATTAATTTCAGATGAAATCCAGCTGTTCCTGATCCAAAATACAGCTGAGATTTTTAAAAAGCTAGTCACCTTCACTTACATAGTAGCACAGCATTTGGAGAAGTATTTTTATCACTTTTATGATTTATAGAAGAACATACAAGCAGCTGGATGAAAATAAATCAATTTCCGTGAACTATAGCTGAAATGAAATGCTGCTCCTTACTGACCTCATTTTGTGCATGTGCTAACTGCTGCCCACACACACAAGGTGTTGCACACGTGAATTCAGTGGCTTAGTGCACATGAGCTTCATCTGGTGCCTCATTCCATCATGGAGCTACTGAACCCAGGGAAGAGCTCTGTTCTGCAGGGCAATGAGAGAACCCAGGTCTCACCTCTCACAGATTTCATGAGTGCTTTCAACCTCTCAGGATCATTTTGCAGTTTATATTTAAAGTAAGTGGTACCAGGAGCCAGCAGCACACAAGATGCCTGTGTTATCAGTGAGTTAGCTATTAAAGGGTTCTCCTTATTTCCATACACCAGAATTAATCACAATTTATTTGACTTGGCACATCTGCCAGTACAGTACATCAGGGTTTCCTATCAGAAGCATGCTGTTAATGTATTATTAAACAGGTTTTCAGATACTCTCCCCTGACATGTGCACTGTCTGAGATCTGAGACCATATTTTCCTCTTTGTTCAGGTGACAAAGGAGCCAAAGGCTTATCAGGGGTCTCTGGAAAAAAGGGAAAAGCAGGTAAGCTGTGCATCCTTCTCTGCACAATGGTCAAGTCTGCTGAGTTACCTAAATTCATGGGCAATGTTTGGTATCACAAAAACTAACACATAGACAGGCCAGTGGTACATTTATACCGGAAACTAGAAGAAAGTTTCTGAATACCAAAGGTCCTAATTCTATTAAGGATTCATATTAATATATATTCGTTATTTTATTAAGTTTCCTAATAGGAGCATGGGGATGAAAATAAGTGATTTTAGATAAAGCGTAATCTGTTACATAAATGCAATGCATTTGCTCACAGTAGGAGAGTTTGGATCTGATGACCCAGAAAGTTCTTTTCAGTCCTAATAACCTTGAATGTTTTTCCACCTTGAATGAACAGTTGTATTCATTTTTAAGAGATTTCATATGCAATGCCAGTTTGGTTCTTAATGTGAAATCATCAGCAACTTCTTCTCCCTGAGAATAACAGAGGAACAAACATAAACCTATACCAAGCCAAATTTCAGTTTACTAACAAAAATATAACTGAGACTTCAGTGCTTGAAAGTTATTATTCAAGTTGGTATTGATTATTGCTGCTGGACCACAGCTGCATGCAGCAATTAGACTAACATAGTCCTACCAAAGTTTTGCCAATCCCACCTCTATGCACACTCACAAAACTTCACTGAGAGAGCACCAGTTCCCCATTTCATGGATGCTGTTTTTTCTATTAGAAGGCTGGGGAACCTGTGCTATTTACAGATACAAGAGAAACCTTTGGCATTCAGCTGTAACACTGTAGTGATCACCACAACAAGCCACAGCTCTGCCACTAGATGAAATCGATAATGAGAGGGGCAGAGGATATGCAAATCCCATACTGATATGGGTGGAAGGAAGATGGGAAACTTTTCTATCCGCATTTTTAATAGTAGGGATTCTTAAACCAGTTAACAAGGGAGTGTACAAAGCCACAAGATTAAGCTCTTTGATCAACAGAATTATGGCCAGTGTGGCAGGATGAGACTGGCTCTCCACAAGTGGAGGCGAAGTCTTCAGAAGGTTTGGAAGTGGGCTATAGAGGACCCCCAATGCACACACACAAATGATTCTAAACAGATATATCCTCTATTTTTTTTATTGCATCAGGCACGGTCTGTGACTGTGGAAGATACCGCAGAGTTGTTGGACAACTGAATATCAACGTTGCTCGTCTTAACACATCCATCAAGTTTTTAAAGAATGGTGAGGACCCTTATGTATTTGATGTGATCTATTTGGCTCGTTGCTCTTCTTTCACCATTGCTGCTCTATGATCTATCTGGATCCATAGATGATCCAGAGAGATGGTTCCACTGTGTGAGGCACTCTGAAAACATACAGAAAAGAGACACCTGTAAGGATATAAGCAGCAGATGACCAAAAGCAACACACAAATTATCAACAGCACAACAGAAAGGTTCATGAAAAGCACAAAGCACAGCTTGCTAACTGCCTCTGCACTGTCAGTCTGCTCAAGCTCTGCAGCCACACAGGCAATGAAAGGAAAAAGTTTGTGTCAATCTGCTCCAGAGAGGCAGAGGAAGCCATAGGAACCTACTGATCTTTCTGCCACACAAGAAGCCTGCAGACATGGTACTCTTAGTGCTTCCCTCAGTGCAAGCACCTTTTTTCTGTAACAAGGGACCAACACACAAAGGCATGGGTTACAATATCCAAATACCAATACCGAAACACCTAAACGATGCCTACAGGAGATCTGAAGAGGGACTTTTTGCAAGGGTATGTAGTGATAAGACAACGGGTAATGGCTTTAAACTGGAAGAGAATAGCTTTAGATTAGACATGAGGAAGTTCTTTACTGTGAGAGTGGTGAGACACTGGAACAGGGTGCCCAGAGAAGCTGTGGTTGCCCCATCCTTGGAAATGTTCAAGGCATTGGATGGGGCTTTGAGCAACCTGCTCTAGTGGAAGGTGTTCCTGCCCACGGCAGGGGGTTGGAAATAGATGATCTTTAAGGTCCCTTCCAACCCAAACCATTCTATGGTTCTATAAGAAGCCATGTCTGCAGGCAGTGCTGTCACAGGGACAGTGCAAACTGTCCCCACTGAACGGAAGGAGGCGTGTTTCCTGGCATAGCAGAGATTTTGAGAAGGCTCAACCACTCCTCTAGGACTAGGGCTGTAACAGTAAATTAAATGTGTTTGAGACTGTTCTCTGGCACTGTGGGCAACCAGTACAGCACAGCACACATCTGCATTTCAGATCCTACAAAACTGAATGCCATGTTGTCCAGAGTGTCCCTCTACTAACTAACTGTGCCTGGACTAAGTCCTGAATTGTTTGGAAGAGTATCAGTTATCCCAGGCCAAAGTTCTGCTCAGGACCATTCCTGATTGCTATCCATTATGAGGGATAATCAAATTCCAGCTATTCACTGGGATACACACTGATTGAGAAGTTTGCCTCTTAAAGCTGGTGAGCAGCCAGTTTTTTCCAAGTCAATGCCACTTAGTGGCTACAGAGCAGCTCTGAGTATCAGGCTGTATTGAAATGTCTTATTTTAGCAGTCATGTTGATTTTCCTCTACATAGAAAGGGCCTGAAAAGCTACCTATACCCCTGTGTTTCTACCCCAGGGCACCCTTCCACAATCTCTATTCAAAAACATGCAGACCAGCAGGGATGATCCAGTTATTTGACCATTTAGCATGCCTTTATTTGATCAGTACTACATATCCAGGAGGTAAAGCTTAAGTGTCTCAGAAGAAATATGCCAGTCAGGACTGACTAGTTCTTGTTCTAACGTGTGCAAGGTGCTTGTCGGTCCCACTAGTAGCATCAGTTTCTGATCATATCCTCATCAGTTATTACAAATTCAGTGGTGGGAATACTTTTCCTCTCTCCCTTTTATTAATTCTAATGTAAAAATCATCTCACTGTCATACTGGAACAGAAGCACCTTCAATATCTGTTGACATGCCATTAAGCAATTTTTTTTCCCCTTAAAGTTATAGCAGGTATCAGGGAGACAGACGAGAAATTCTATTACATCGTGAAAGAAGAGAAGAATTACAGAGAAGCCTTGATCCACTGCAGGGACAGAGGAGGAACACTGGCCATGCCCAAAGATGAGGCAACTAACGCCCTGATTGCTGACTACATCTCCAACAGCGGCCTCTTCCGAGCCTTCATTGGGCTGAACGACATGGAGAAGGAAGGACAGTTTGTGTATGCAGACAACAGCCCACTGCAGAACTACAGTAACTGGAAGGAAGGGGAGCCTCATGACCCAGCTGGGCGCGAGGACTGTGTGGAAATGCTCAGCACGGGAGAGTGGAACGACTCCGAGTGCCAAGTCACCATCTACTTCGTCTGTGAATTCCTCAAGAAGAGGAAATAAAAGTGACACAGAATTTCACCTGGCACCGGCTGCGCATACAATAACCCCTCCTCATTCACCCACTGTAGGGAAAGCACACAACCAGGGTCAGGGCTTGGGCCAGCCTTCACCTCACTGGGTTAAGAAAGAGTAACTACTGTTAAGATGGCAGTGACCATAACGTCAGCACAGGTATGCAGGGGGTATCCAGCCAGTTGTGAATTCTTATTTCATTTCTATGTGCCATTTAGGGTGCGCATTTCTATGCACAATTTAGGGGCAAATTTATAGCACACAGAGGTGACTATGAGTTCATTAATGCTAGGAATAGTAGACTCACTGGTATACTAATTGCTGATGTGCATCACAAAGTCCACAGACAGAAAGAGTGGGATCTTTACTTATGTCTGACCTGCACAGGAAGTCCTAGTCATTTTCCTGGTGCCTTCAGAAAAGCTGGGAGAACAGGTTTGCACTTTCTCTTGAAAAAATCCTTTTTTTTTAGAATCACGGAGTAATTTAAGTGGGAAAGGATCTCTGGAGGTGATTGCCTTGAATCTGCCATGCAAAGCAGGGCCAACTTCAAACTTAGGTTAACAGTTGTCATGCTTTTCTTAATTTGGCTGTGCAATTATATTGCCTGATACACAGGGGAAGACTCATTTATCTCTGCTGCCAACTCTATTATCCATCGGGATGGTCTGATGCCACAGCTTGTAGGCAACCTAAGACCAGATAGAGCAGTTCTAATCTCTGATGTTCCCCAAAATCCACGAAAAACATAGAGAAGTCTAGCACAAAGACCAGTGCAAAGGAAGCAACACTATTACTGCAGGCTGTAAACAGGCACATGTAGTATCAGTTATACCAGTGTGCACTGCTGGCTTAACAAATACCTCTAGGAACATGTTAACTCCCCAGCTCAGTAGCCATTAACATCTGATGCCTCATGCTAAAATCACCAGTGCCTTTGCAAGAAAGGAAGCAGCTATAGAACAGACTTTATCCCCCAAGAACCCAGATTCAGGTGTGTTTGAACAACTTAGTCAGGCACTTCAGCATGACTCTCCAGAGAAGATGAGCAGTAAGTATGAAGGCTTTGCTGCCCATGCCTGGCTACTCAGATCTCCATGTCAGTATGCCCACAGTGGATCGTATTTTCATGTCTCTGATAATACCGGAGAAGCTCTTTTCTTCATGCACAGCAACCATTTTGCCTTCAGAAGTGAGCCTGTTCTTACTCATGGTTCATCTTTCTTCACAGCAGGTGTCAAGAGAAACCCCAGGGCCCCTGAAATGAAGGTCTATAGATTTTTTTTCCTACCTGCCACTAAAATTGAAGGAATGCTATCTGGAGGCTAAAGAGAATGCTAGACACTAGGCACAGTACAGCAATGTACCCTGCAGGGCACTCTGAGCACTGGCTGCACATGGTCTTCCTCTGGGTATATGAAGAGTTGGACATGCCATGAGCTATTAATGCAGAGGGGTAGCTACAAGTCTCCTTTCTACTGGTGTGTACAGCACTGCAAAAACAAATAGACAACAATCTACTTCCTCAACCTCACCCTCAACAGGAAGATCCACCAAACCATTTAGCTGGTTGTTAATGTGACTCCAAGCTCATGTCTGAGCAATGACCAATGCAGGAGCATCCCAGCAGACTCTGACTCAGAACCACTCTTGCAATCCAGTTTTTCTGCCACTTGTTCCTCCATAAAACCACCTGTTGCTACCAGCAGTAAATTACCCGTGTTGCTACACACCCTCCAGGGAACTATTCAGGCCCATGAATAAAGAGGTGGAACCACATTTCTTTTCATTGCTGCCCTACCATGCTATGACAGTGTTTGGCCAAATAGGTTCACTTAGCACAACATAACTCATCCTGAATTGTTCCCTTCCTGGGAATTGATATTCCCCCAAATTAAGCAGAATTACATTTTTTGGGATCTATAATAATAAACTCATTAAGCTAAACACTTTGGTTTTAGAATCATTAATGGCTAATGATAAAGAATTAATGACTAATTCAAGGCAAAGTTTCTTGAGGAAAAGTAATGCCTTTCAGAAGCTCAAGTGCAGGGCTGCAAGACACACTCATAGTAGGTCAGTTCTTACTAGTCATGCAGAAGTGGCAGAGTAATATCCCCAAGGGCAGGGACAATCACACTGATACACTCTCCACACCCAAGAAGTCACCAATACATGCTTGCCAGATTGGGGGTCCAAATTCTGGAAACTTCTAGGCCATTCTGAGACCACTGGCTGACAAAATCCCTAGTGCTACGCTCATCATGAACAGCCCATTCTCCCATTCTTTTAGGAGGAAACTCGGCTGGGAGAAGGTGTTAGCGGGCAATACTTTGCTGCAGGATCAAGCTCTGCCTGAGATTGGACAAGGCACTCTCCTTCATGCACAAAATCAGGGAATACATGTCTAAATTGAAACTCTGGTCTTCTTTAGGAGACTGTCAGTTATAAGTAATCCTCGAGCATGCTCCATGGATGGGAAAGAATCACAGTCACACTCTCTGGCTGCATGGCTGAAGGAAGCAAATGAGGAACTTGTACTGGGTTTCTGCAATGGAAAGGCTGGAACTGCTCAGTTCCTCCATCCTCCTCCTCTCCTACCACACCAGGTTAATCCTTTCTTAAATAGGAAAAATAAACAAAACCAGCCCTTTTACATAGTCACAGTGGGCAAGGCCATACCACTTGAAACAAGTAGACCTGGGGTAGCTGTTCTTTTGCTACCTACTGAAGAGGAACAGCAGAGGAGCAGAGCACAGTTTTCAAGCTAGCCTGGTGTAAGTATGATCAGGTGCTTGCACAACCCATTCCTGCAGCATGAGGTCCCAGATAATAAATTGTGCCAAGAAGCCTAACTCACAGGCCAAGCCAAATAAAAAAGCCTATCCCACACAGGAAACCTGGCAGGTAGGTCCATACAGCTCTGCACCATGCCATGTGGACATGAGCTTGAGCATGCACCAACTCAAGTATTATAGCTGTGTTTTGTAGAAAAAATATACTCGTTATAATTAAGAATGTGGGCTCTATCACTGCTCGCCAATGGAAATTCACTGTGGTGGGTAAAGTACCTTAGTTTTCTACAGGAAGTAGATGGAGCCAAGAACACAGGAAATGGTATCTGACTATTCAGGATTTATGGTCTGTTAGAGTTTGAACCTAAATCATTTTACCCAATGCCAGTATTATTTTTTCCCATGTTTTTCTTTTCATGATTCCCAGGCTGAACCTTTCTTGTTTCAATTATGTTTCTTGTCCTCCCACCAGTTACCACTGTGAAGAGCCTGGCTTAATCTTCTGCTGCTATGAGGTCCACCTGAAGCCACATGTTCTTCAGGCTGGACAAATTCAGCTCCTTTAGCTCTCCCTCACATGGCTCCAACTCCAGTCATCCTGGGGGCCCTTGGCTGAACTTGGCTCCAGTTTTTCAATGCCTTTCCTGTACTGGGAGAGCTCAAAAGGACACAATGTCTAGATGTGGTCTAACAGGTCCTGAGCAGGAGCATAATCTCTTCCCTCAAGCTCCTGGCTGCACTCCCTCCAGCAGAGTCAGGATGCCTTTGCCTTCTTTCCTGCCAGGACTCTCCAGGCTCTTCTCAGTAAAGCCAGTCAGCTCCAGCCTGAATTGGTGCAAGGGATCAGCATTCCTAGATGAGGGAAAATGCATTTGCCCTTGCTGAATTTCATAAGGTTCCTGTTGGCCCATTCCTCCAGCCTGCCTAGGTCCTTCTGTATGGCAGCCCTGCCCACAGCATGTCTACTGGTATGATTTACCATTGGTGAGATCCATGCTGATTGTCCCTAATCACCAGCTTCTCCTTCATAAGCCCAGAAATGTGCTCCAAGAGGACTTGCCCCTTTAAGTTCCATGAGGACCAAAGTGATGCTGATCAATTTATAGTTCCCTAGATTATTTTTGGCCTTTTTGAAGAAGGGTGCAATATTTACCTATTTCCAGTCATTAGGAACCTTCCATGATCTCCAATATGATAGAGTGGCCCTGCAGAGACATCAAACCAGTTTTCTTGGCACCTTAGATACAGTCTGCCTGGTCCCATGGAATTTTCTGGTTGAACTCTCTGAAGTTCTCTGCCTAAATTGTAGTTATATTTGAATCCTTTCCCTAAGTACAGAGGAATGGGATAGCTTGTTGGTAAAGATGGAAAAGAAACCTCAGAATACCTCAGCTTTACCTGTGTCTGCTGCCACTACATCACCTCCATTCAGCAGTGGTTCCACATTTTCTTTGCTCAGCCTTTTTACAAGAACACTGCAGTGGAAACTCTTCCTGTTATGCTTCCTGTGCAAGTCTCAACCTCATTTAAGTTTTGGATCTCTTGAGGATCCCTTCAAACTCAGGCAATGTTTCTAAGTTAATGCCACCATAGCATGTCCCTGCTTCCACCTACTCTGTACTGCCTTTTGCACTGGAGCTTCACTAAGCTCTCTCTTTAGCCACATCAGTCTATTGATATACCTGCTTGCACATACACAGTGAACACAAGACAGCTGCCTAAGATCTTGCTACATCACTGTAGGAATACTTCAGAATGCTTCCTGCCCTCAGCCAGCCAGGATTTTCTGATCTTCTATGTTCTGAAGAGTAACACCTTGGTCAGTGCAAGCATTATCATCTTGCTTTCCCCAGGTCCAGAATGCGCATAACACACAGATACCTACAGTAAATAAAATGTCTTAAAAACTAATTCTAATAAAAATGATCACTAGATCGATAAATAAACAATCATAGAATCACTATGTTCATTAAGAACATGTTTTCCTCAGCATTTCAAACAATCTCACATGGGCATTCAGCAGATCAACTTCTTTCATTGCTTTTAACCTGTTCAATCACTTAAGAAAAATAAATTAGCAGCTAGAGCAATGAAGTGTTGCATTTTTTACCACAGCCACAAGAATCTCTATTTAGTTTCACATACAGTCTTAAACAGCACATTTTAGTTGTTTAGTTCACGTGGCTGAAATTG